AAAGAAAGGCATGTCCTATGGCATATTTACAGCACTAGCAACCGTTCTTCTTTTTGCAGAGATGGATGAGGACTTCAGGTTGACACAGCGGCACTGGCTGGGTCCCACAGGGGAATTTTTTTCTTCTTTGCTGAGGGAAATGCAAGTCATCATCAAGGGCAAAGACCAGTGGATGCAGAGTCTATTTTGGAGTTAGGTATTATGGCACGTGATACTGCAAAACAGTAAGGTGATTCAGGGACATTACACACACATGCCCATAACATATATTAATATTTGTGAGATAACAACAATGAGGATAATAATAATTATAATAATGTGCTTAAACAATGAACAAAATCTAACCAGATAAAAGATAGATATATAAATAATGATCAATAGACTAGAAAAATTAAGAAATCTTTGTAACAAAGTGAAAACAAAACTTTTGTTCATGCAGTTAACATCATAATAAAAATACAAGCTAATACACAAGCAGTGCATTTTAACATTAGATGTATCTTCCTGAAGAAAAGTCTAGTGAGTAGCAAATAAATTGTTGGTCTGAAAGGTCATTTTACGGAGCACAAGTTCCTACACAGCAGCCTCATGGAGTGTTTTGCTACTGTGCATGGAAAATAAAGCAAATGGGTGCAGTAACAATTAGCTGCCACCTGATGATGCCATAACATCGTGGGCATGAGATGGTCCAGGACGTTGCAGTTCAGTTTGAGACTTTTATTAGCAGCGGCAGACTTGTAAATCTCAGAAGTGTCGACTCATCAATAGCCATCCAAACAGTTTAATCTACTCAAGAATATAATGCGTGACATACTGGTATGACTTCACTATAAATGAATATGATCTGTAATTCACTCCTATAGCCACGGCACTACCGCCCGGTTCATTTTACATTTCAATTTTACAGTGTTGTTACTGATAACATGTTGAATTGATTAGTCATGGTCATGCAATGTCCCTGGGAAACAATATTCCCAAAAGACTTACACAGGATAAACCTTGGAATGCTGCTATTATCTGTTGTGCTTTTAAAACATGTAACGCCCTGCCCAAAGATAATGGAGTCCAGGCATCAGAACTGAAATGAGTGAGGCAACGTGTCAAATTAGGCAACATGAAACAACAGTAACAGCACATGACCTCTCACCTTGCAAGGTGACTGAATGTGGCAGCACAAAGACATCAACACACTTGAATGATGTTCCCACTGTAGTTCATTCATTTAAGCATTTATCACTGAAAAGATTTATGCCTCCTGCAGACCATTTGTCACATTATTGTATAAAGGACCATCAATCTTGTGCACTGAAATCTTTTACCTAGTTAACCACGCCTATACATGTATCACTTGAGGGTAATTTCAGTGTGGAATCGACAATTGGCAACAACAGGTTACAGTGACAGCTATACCACAAGACCATTCAGCTCCTTAGCTCCAAGTCCTGACTGCAGTGGAGGCTATGACATTATTAAGGTCATACAAAGCTGTCAGTCAACTGATTACACAGGGACACATTTGATTTATTAAACAACTGATTGATTTAACTGACACACAAACTCAATTGTAAAGGAGCACCAAAGGTTTGAAAAGCCACTAATGTACATCTGGTACACGATCTGGTGTTTATCTGTTTGGAAAATGACATCTATAAATATACAAATATGCATTTTTAGTTTTGTCAAGTGTTCTCTTTGTTGATATGATGACCTATTTATGCAGCTGTTTTCTGAATATCAAAACAGGGACAGGCCACTGTCTTTGTGCATTTGTTTTCCTCTTTGAATTTTCACTTCTGTGCATGCTGTTGGTTACTAATCTGCCACTGAACTGCTGCATCAAACATCCATGCATGCCCTGCTGATGGAAAGAGGAATAGTGGTGGTATAAAAGCAAAGCGAGAGGGCATGCAGTTTTTATGAAGCATTCATGTCACTGATGTTTTGTTCCCTATCTGCTTGTGGCACTGGTGTAGATGTTAATGGTTGGCACCAGGTTTCCATGCAACCCAAACATCAGCTTTTGGTACCCCAAAATGACCATGTAAAGAATCATTGCACAGAAGAACAAGCACTCAGATACTGATAAAAGATGATATCCATTACAGGCTTTTGTCTCTCTAACTACTGTTCTTTCTCTCTGTTTCCAGGAGGGAGGTGCCATGAAGAAGCCATGGTCAGACAGAGAGAAGACGTGAGAAAAAATAATTTGAAGGCATTCCGCAGCTCTGGCGCCCTCGTATCTCATTTATGCAACATGTAACAACAGCTGCAAGAAAAGCCTTTAGCAGAGAAGGAAACTGTGGAGAAAGAGGCAGAGCAGCAAGAAGAGAAGGACATTTGAGAGTCCTGCAGCAGGATCTCCAAGACTGCGTGACTGTTCTGTGCAAGCAGAAGGAGAAGGAGGGAGGACACAGGACAGAAGGGAGGAAGGTAGGAAAGAAAGAAGGGGGAGGGGAAGAAATTCAGCGCAGTGCAAGCTGACTGAATGAGTAGCAGCCGCGGCACAGGCAGCAACATCAGCACCGATAGCAGTAGCATCTTTCTTTGGGGCTGCTGGAGACTGTCTTTTGGCTTCTGTAGCATCAAAATCACCCGCATACGCACAGATATCTGGACACAGACTTTCCCACTGCGTTGCCTTACACACACACACGCGCACACACAGAGAGACACACACATGTCGTGGTGGCCACCAGAGAAGAGGTAGTAAGTGACGGGGCTCGGGGGACAGAGGGACACAGGAAGAGGAAACAGGGACGACTGGTGGTAGTGCAGACGAGAGGAGGGCTGGAGCGACGGCGACTGAAGCAGCGGCAGCAGCAGTAGCAGCGGCACCATGGCGCAAGCCGCCAAACAGCTCCGCAAGACCAAGGACCTCGCGGAGGCCGCCGCCCAGGAGCAGAGGGAGAAGGAGGAGGAGAAGATAAAAAAGAGAAATCGATCCAGGGACCGCAGGCGCAAGGTATGTCTCAAGAGACTGGAGGTGATGCTGTTTCTTACATGCATTCTCCTCTCTACCTGCATCTCTCTCTCTAGGAGTCTCTCTCTCTCTCTCTCTCTCTCTCTCTCGCACTGCATCTATTGTGCATGATTGGTGAGGGCGCAATTACATATGCATAATTTCCCACTGGTCCTTTGCTCTCAACTGGTCTCTCTCTCTCTCTCTCCCTCTCTCTATCTGTGTGTGTGTGTGTCTGTGTGTGTGTGTGTGCTTATGTGTGTAGGCTACCCAGTCAAGCACATATGCTCTGCTGCAAGTTGTGTTGTTCAGTCAGATATTTAGCTACAGGGGAAGGAAAAGAAGGCTGATGCTGTTTGTTATGTTTTTCTTTCACTTGACAAACATTTGTGGGGATTTCAGCCTTACATGGGTGCAGCTCATTCATATTATTGCAATACAAGTTCAGTGCACTACACATACAGATATTTTTATGCATATGATCACATCTCCATTAACACACGCTGCATGCTGCACTCTCTTCTGTGATCCTGTCTTGATTTTAGAGTTGGTGTCTTCCCCCATATTATAAAATTTTTTCACTGGGGAGATGTAAAATGGAGGGGGGAGATGGAGCTACAGTCTAATAACAGATGCAGTTTTAACCCTTCTGTACATCTTTTTGGGGCCACGTTTGGCTTACATGTATTGTTCAATAGATACATCTGTGCTAATTAGTCTTTATAGCCTAACATTTGCTGCTAATAATATTTGTCATGTATGAAATTAATCTTTAAATGTATTGTCACACACTGGACATGCTGAACATGATCCTGTGGGTGAATGAGAGCTTTCATTCATCCCTTTGTGACACTCCTTTCCTGCACTCTCACTCTGGCTCTGCCTTTAGGTGCAGATTTTGTTGGGGTTACATGGACTTGCTCATATGTTTGGCAGCACTGAATTGATTTATTACAATGCATATATAAAAGGATGTTGAACAGATTAAAAAAAAACTTTTATGAATTGTATTCCTTGGTGTAAGACTAATGTTTTCTGTTGCTCCTGTAATACATCTTTATGCACATATATGGAGTCAATGGCAACAGAGAATAAGCCTTCTTTTAATCCCTTTGTCAGATGTATCAGAGACAATGAGCATTTGACAGAAAGTCAGAAAGACAAAAGAAAAGAGCAGGTACAGAAAAAAATCTCATGGCCTGAGAACTTGAGGGTCCTGTGCAGTATCTTAGCTGTTCCTAGGACTGCACTCTTCTGGACAGAGATCTCAGATGTTGTTCCTGGGATCTGTTGGAG